ACCTAGCATCCTCTATTTTGTGTTGACCTAGCATCCTCCAACATTCCAAATTTACTTAGTTTCAATGACTTCTTAGGTTCCTTAGGATTTTCTATGTATATGATATTGCCTGTAAATAAAAGCAGTTTCACTCCTTTCTTTCCCAGCTATCTTTTTATGTCTTTATTTTTTTCTCATTTCACTGGCTGGAACCTCCAGTACAAAGTTGACTAAAAGTAGTGAGAGCTTATATTTTTGCCCTGTTGCAAGTCTTAGGGGAAAGGAGTTTAGTGTTGAGCATTAAGCACGACGTTAACTGTAGGTTTTCGTAGACATCCTTCACCAGGCTAAAAAAAGTTTGCTCCTAGTTTCAGTTTACTGAGAGTTTTTAAATCATGAATGAATGTTGAATTTTGTCAAGTGCTTTTCTGCATCTATTGAGATGATCATGTAATTTTCTCCTTTATTTTGTGGCAAAATTTTATAACAAATTTCAGTGGCTTACTTTCAAATGTTAAATCAGTATTACATTTTTGGCATAAATCTTGTTTCGTTATGATGCATTATGATTTTTATACATTGCTGAATTTAATTCGCTAATATTTTGCTAACATTTTTGTGTTTATATTTAAAAGGATATTGGTTTGTGTTTTTTTGGTAATTTTATTATTTGGTTTGGGTATATTATTGCTGTACTATAAAATGAGTTGGCAAATGTTTCCTCTTTTTTGTTTTCTGAAAAATTTTCTGTGAGAAAAGTATTTTTTTTTTTGTAAGTTTTATATAACTCACTACTGAAACCATCTGAGGTGGGAGTTTACTTTTTGGGAAAGTTTTAAGTTGTTGAAAAGACTATCTTGAATTAAATCTACTTATATATATTTTATATTTATTTATACATTTATGATTTTGATGCTCTTCCTTTCTTTGTGTAGATCTGAGTTTCCATCTGATGTCATTTTCCTTTAGCCTAAACTTCTTTAATATTTTTGTATGCAGGTATGCTGATGACAGATTCATTTAGCTTTTGTTTTTTAAAATGTCTTTATTTTTGCCTCCATTTTTGAGACAGATTGTCAATGAATATAAAATTCTGGACTGACCATTTTCTTTCAGCATTTTAAAAGTGTCATTCAATTGCCTTCAGGCTTACTTTTTTTTTTTTTTTTTTTTAGGAAAGTCTGCAGTCAGAATTATTTTGTGTCTTTTTTGAATATATTTTCTCTGAGTGCTTTTGCAATTTTCTCTTTACCTTGATTTATACAGTTTCACTATGGTGTGTCCAATTATTTTCATTCCACATGCTCTTTGTTGAGTGCCTTGGATCTCTGGATTTATAATTTTCTTCCAACTTCATAAATTTTTGACCATTGTTTATTTAAATATTATTTTATGCTTATCCTAATAGGACGCAAATTACACACATGCCAGATTGGTTCCTGTTGTCTTGAAAGTCGCTGAAGTTATGTTCATTTTTTTTCTAATTCTTTTTTTCTTTCCTCTGCTTCAATTTGGATAATTTCATTGCCTTTCGAAAAAGAACTTTAGGCAATTTCTTAAAACACAACTGGTCTTTTTTACTGTAATGTCTAATCTGCTTTAGGCAAGTCTATTTAGTAAATTTTTTATTGCAGATATAATATTTTTCAGCTCTGGAAGTTCCATTTTGTTTTTTTTTTCATAGTTTTAATTTATACTTTTATATTTTCTTTTAAATCCTTAAGCTTATTTATATTTGCCATTTAAAAGTCATGGTCTGCTACTTTCATAATTTCTGTTGGTTCTGCCACTGTTCTCATTGCCTGCTTTTGTTGTTGTTGTTTTGGACTGACTATAGGTTCTATATCTAACAATTTTTGATGTTGAGTGTTCATTGGGTGTTGGACATTGTGAGAGCTACACTGTTGAGTGTCTTGGATTTTGTTGTCTTCCTTTAAGGAGTGGTGAATTTTGTTTTGGCAAATGATTAAGTTACTTGTGGATCACACTGATAGTGTTGAGATTTGTTTAAAAGTTTTTAGAAGTTGGGTCTAGCACAGTCTTTACCTTCAGGGTGATTTCATCTTATTACCAAGATGTGATTCTTCTGTAGTCTCTGCTAAATGCTCTGAGGTTCTATGAACTCTCTTCATGCTGGCTGGCTGGAACTTAACCACCTTCCAGCCTACGTGAGCACGGGAAATTGTTTAGCTTAGAGCTCCCCAATATTTGTTGTTTTCCTGGCTTCATAGAGCTTCTGTCTGAAAATACGCAGCTTAATACTTAACAAAGACTCAAGGGGGCCACTATGTAAATTTCTGGAGCTCTTTTTCTGTGTAGATTTCTGCTCTGTTGGATTCTAGTTCATAAATTCCAGCTGCCCCCGCCTGCTCAAACTCTGATTTCTGCCTCCTCAATTCAACAAGAATGCTGTGCTTTGCTTGGGCTCCTTTCCTCTATGCTTGGGGGCTTCCAGACAGAATGCCCATTCTATTCTATGGCTCATCTAGTTTGCATCTCTTTTCTCAGAGATCACAATCCAGCATTGCCTATTTTCTAATGTTTGAAAATAATTGGGTTTTTTTTTTGGTCCATTTTAAAATTACTTACTATAGGATGGCAAGCCTGGTATCAGTAACTCCATCATGGCCATTGATAGAGTTTTAACTAGCTTACATAACAGAATTTTCATCTTGTCTGTATGTCTTCTAAAGAAATCACCAAAAGAGTATAAAACTAACAAAAAATATATATGATCACATTAATTCACCTAATAATCTTTTTTGAACAGGAACTAAGAGGAGTGGATTTGATTTAGTCATAATGAACCCATACTAGCCTGCAGGGTTCACAGCTCTTTCTCTTCATAAGTCAGACATTTAATGATATTTTAAGGATTTTTCCAGAGAGCATAATGTTCACCATTAAGCAGGTTTTGGAATTTGATTTTTTAAAACATGAAAATATTTGTCTGTGTTTGGTCTTTGGCATAATATTTATAAATAACATTTATTTGCTTATGATGTGCTTACTGTGTGTCAGGAAGTAGTCTAAATGTTTGATATGCCTTATCTTTCTCAGTCATCATAATACCATGAGTTCTGAGCCAATAATATGAGTTCTTCTATTATCCTCACTTAACAGATGAAGAAATTGAGAATTAGAGATATAAAATAACATGCTCCAGGGCACATAACCAGAAAGAGATGGAGCTGAGATTTGAATCAAGGCAGTTTGATTAAAAAATGCCAGTTGAACCATTGGGCTATTCTTAACATCACCTGTCTTGATCTTTGTGATTTCTCAGAATTTTCATTTTAACCAAAAAGCTTAACTCTTTTTTTGTTTCTAAATCTCATTTGAAGTACCAAGGAATACCAAATATGACCTGATAATAGGGTCCTTCAGTGTGCACTGAGTCTGTTTTATTGATTCATTCAATCTCTTTCTTAGGGCTTTCCAGGCAAAAGGAATAATATGTAAAACAATGAAACATGCATGAAACTGCAGAACTCATTAGCTCAAATGCAGTATGGGGATGTTTTGTAGCAACTTCACATGGATGTTGTGAGGGTTGAAAGGAAGGAAAACATTCTACTACATAAGGTACTAGTAATGAGAATGTGCGTTTAAAGTTCATAGATATACTTGGTACAACTATGACTACAACACCTGAATAAATTTAATTAATGCCTTTTCTGTGAAGAACACACAGTACTTAAGTATATTATAAAATATTATTGTTAGTGGCTTCAGGAGGGAGAATCCTTCACCGAACAAGACAGACAAAAAATCATGAGTGTAAGAGCTGGACACGTGTGATATGTTGTTGGTAGAGGACACCCACAGGAGGGAGAGATCAGACTCACTTGTTTATTTAAAGATGAATAAGAATTTTCCTGGCAGATGGGAACCATAAGAGCTGGAGAGAGGACGTTCTAGGCAAATGAAACAATATGTATAAGAACACGGGGGCATGAAACAGACCACATTCTCTTTGATCAGTAATGTAACATATATATGAATGTGTATATTCAGGTAAGTCTAAAATCTTAGTGTTCTCCTCCAAAGAGTTTATAACATAATTAAATAGATAAGGTACAAGTATGGGAAGAAAACATTAATACTATGTGATAGTGATCTGATAAGTATCTATTGAATAAATAAATGAATGATGAATGAATGAATGTCAGGGTGTGCTAAATGCCGAATGACTAATGGTACCAGTAAGATCTCCAGGAGGACAGGGCAGGGATGTTCATTTTTGCATGATATGATTTGGAGAGTCCTTGATGGAGAAGTGGGGATTGATCAGACTTTGAAGAGTGGGTAGCAGTTGAATAAACGGATGAGAGAAGGTGTCCCAAGGGAGTGAAGAACAGTATCAGCAGAAGCAAGCAGGAGAGAGGTGTGTTATCATGGAGGGAAGGATGAATGTGGAGGAGGTAGGACCAAAAGGTGGGCATTGCCAGATCATAATGGGCCACGAATGATAGGCTGATTTTGAACTTTGTCTTGTTGGTTGTTGAGGAATCCTAAAGGGTTCTGAGCAACACACTGACAGAATAAAAGTAATTTTTAGCTATTATGGTCTAAGGTGAGTTATAAATATTTATACAATGGCCAGGTGTGGTGGCTCATGCCTGTAATTCCAATGATGTGGGAGGCTGAGGCAGGCAGATCACTTGAGTCCAAGAATTTGAGACCAGCCTGGTCAATATGGTGAAACTTCGTCTCTGCTGAAAATTCAAAAAAATTAGCGAAGGATTGGTGGTGCAGGTCTGTAATCCCAGCTCTTGACCCCAGCGGGTGGAGGTTGCAGTGAGCTGAAATCACGCCACTGAACTCCAGCCTGGGAGATAGAGTAAGACTCTCTTTCCAAATAAATAAATAAATAAATATGTATGAAATATTTTTTTTACAGTTCTTTAGCATCTACTGAGTACCATACACAGAGGATACCAAGATAAATAAGACTCATTTCTTGTTTTTAAGGAAGTTTGGAAATGAAAGTGATGGTGGGAAGAATTAACTTGGCAGTGTATTGGAGGGAGAGAGAAGCAGAGAGATCAGTTACGAAGCAATGAAGGTAATTTAGGAACTAGAACCTGTGGGGTGGGATGTGATGTGGTAGAGCAGGGGTGGGAGACAGAGGACACAATGGGTAGATATTAGGGCTCTCACAGATGGAGAAATGACAGGTCTTGGGGCTGACAAAAGATGGCAGACAGTTGAGAGCCAATAAAGCACAAGCTTTCCAACTTCGGCGATTAGAATGGTGGTGGTACCAATGGTGGGTATTCAGGGTCAAAATGTACTGAGCATTCATTATATACCAGAGGATGTAGTGAGGACGTAGTGAGGATACAGCAGTGAATAGAAACAAGGCCTCTGCTGTATTCCACATAGAGAATATATGGATCTCATATTGTAGTAGAAGACAGACCACCACATCACTCTTGCTCCTTGCTGTGCTTTGTTCTCTATCCTGCCACCGCCTGACATCTGATGTCCTCTGCTTCAGCGCTGTCCAAGAGAAATGTAAGGTGAGCCTCATTTGTAACTTAAAATATCCTAGTGTTCACATACAAATATAAGAATAGGTGAAATGATTTTTACTACTTTATCTTATTTGACTCAATATATCCAAAATATTATGATTTTACTATTCAATCCATATTAAAAATTTATTATAAGAGATTTTACATTTCTTTTTTATACGGGGTTTCTGAAATTCAGTGTGTATTTCAAAACTTATAACACCTCTTAATTTGGAAGCTGAATGTTCAGTGTTTAAAGGACAATGTAACCCTATCCAAACAATATACTTGTGTTTAACAGAAAAATATTTCACACTGTTTCAGTTCCTTAGTTGCACTGGACAGGTCTCAAGTAGGCCAGAGGCACACTGGCTGGTGGCTACTACCTTGAAGCGCACAGCTCTCTGTCATCTGGCCCCTCTTTATGCTAACTTAGTTTCATTACGTCACCAGGCATAGAGTACAAGTGCCCCTGACAATCAGGCAGCAGCTTCCTGCTTTATGTCATAAACACAGCATAATAATTGAGGCTCAGTTTCCTCATCTGTCAAATGGACACTAAAAATTATTATCTCATAGGGAGGTTGTGGGGAGCCAATTATATTACATGTATGAAATCACCTACAACAGTGTTGGGGAAAATAGTAGGTGTCAGAAAATATCAGTTCCTCTTTCCCCCCTTTTATCTCACAGGTAGGTGTTATTCATTTTTCAAGGAGTCACTTAATTGCAATTTTTCATAACATTGTGCATAGTCGCTCTGATCATCCACTCATCTCTAGAATTTGTTTCCTACCGTTTGGCCCTTAGCCACAGTTTTGGCATTTTCATTTTGTGACATTTTTTAGTCTTGTTTTTCCAACATCATTCAGATTCCTTCAGGTCAGGACCTGAAGGTCCTCTTCCTCCTTCTCAGATGTTTTCTGCAGTGCTGAATTCACAGTTCAAAATAAATACTTGTATTCATGTTTTGTGACTGACTGATTGATTGAGATTGTCTCTGAAGTATTCTTAGTGACCAGGGAAATTCCACTTGGATTTTAAAAATTAATTGTAGATAATAGACTTTGTGAATCCAGTGGCGAATGAATAATTAAGATTTGGCTGTGATTTGACCTCATGTGGCATTCATCAATTTGAAGTTACTTTATATTAAAATTTATAATAAATTAATTTTTGGGTGGTGAAATATGATTATATTTCAAAACTGTTGAATGATAAAGAATAAAAATATTCCTCTGTAAACCTATTACAGTCCTTACTATTTTGATGCTTTTTTTAAAAACTCAATTCAAGTTACTCCAATATTATATTATTGATAGAATAAATTATATGGAGAGGTTGCTAGGTAGAAAATGGGTTACCATCTTCTTTTTACAGATGTGAAACTGAGGCTCAGAGATTCAAGAAAATTTTGCAATTGGACATCAGAAATCAGGGTGAAGATACATGAGGAAGGTGGGTGTCTTGACAGTTTTTCCCAGCATGGTGCCCAAAGGTTTTGTTAGAACAGTTCCCTCCAGGAATCACTGGTTTGAGCTTTCATGATGGATAGGAATTAGTGTTTTCAAAGCATTACCAAGAAATTGCATTGCCTTTATCTTCATTGCATGTTCAGTTGCTTCCAGTATTATGTCAAAGCTTCTTAACATCAATAGAAAGAGAATAATTTGCAAAAACCAAATGACTATGACATTGAGTTACATCCTTCTAAGAAACCTGGATTCCGCTAGATCATTGAGACTTTGTAAGACCTTAAGCAGCACTGACAGTTTAAATTTGAGATTTTAATCCTTCCATAGGCTGTTAAACTAGCCAGAAAATCTGGAGCATTTGAGAAATTCCACAGATTGAGGGGACACAAATGGACTGAAAGGAACCGGGTGCCAGAGCTCAGGACCCAGGTGGAGGTGAAAGCAAGAGAGCAGTACCGGGGTGCCAAGGCTCTGAGCTCCTCACATAACAAGGCTCCTTGAGCTCATCTCTGCCCATTCCCACAATGCACCTGGTCCTTCCCATAGAATGGCGCTTGGTATTTTGAGCGAGAGTCGGGAGAATCTTATACTAGAGTCATCTTGCTGTCCTGTGTCGAATACACTGGCTTGCCCATTTAGTGAGTGTTTAAGTGCCTGTGGCATGCACACAACATGCAGAGGGTTAGGAAACAGATTGAGAGAACATCAGAGGGGGAAGGCATCTTTAGGCACTTTACAGAGATGTAACAGGACTTGGAGCACTTCTGGGATTCGCTTCAAGTCTTCTAACTAACCAGCCCAGCACCATTTGAATAATCCCAGGTGTGCTATTTCGGTAGACTTTGATTTGCCCTACCTTTGTCCCAGTTTACAGTTAGCTGTTTATAATCATCGAGCAGGGGCCCAGGTTTCCTGTCTACAAAGGGGATAGAGGTGGAGTAAACTCCAGACAAAAAGTCTGTTTCCTACCCACTTGGGCCTTCTGATGCCTCCCAAATCTATTTTTACACTTTTATATTATAACTTTTGTTTTCCAGTGGTTTCTTCTGCATCCCTACAGACTTCTTGCCAGGAATCGAGTCCCAAGGGTTCTTTTTTCACTTTCTTTTTAAAAGAAATGATTTCAACTTTTATTTTAGATTCAGAGGGTATATGTGCAGGCTTGTTACATGAATATATTGTGTGATGCTGAGGTCTGGTGTACAACTGATCCTATCACTCAGATAGTGAGCATAGAAGCCAACAGTTAGTTTTCAACCCTCCCCATCTCCTTCCACCCTCTAATAGTCCCTGTGTCTATTGTTGCCATCTTTATGTCCATGAGTACCCATGTTTAGCTCCCACGTATAACTAAGAACATGCAGTATCTGGTTTTCTGTTTCTGTGTTAATTTGCTTAGGATAATGGCCTGCTGTAGAGGACATGATTTCATTCTTCTTTTTTTCTTTGAGATGAGGTTTTGCTCTTGTTGCCCAGGCTGGAGTGCAGTGGTGTAATCTTGACTCACTGCAACCTCCACCTCCTGGGTCCAAGCTATTCTCCTGCCTCAGTCTCCAGAGTAGCTGGGATTACAGGCACCCACCACCATACCCAGCTAATTTTTTGTATTTTTAGTAGAGACAGGGTTTCACTATGTTGGACAGGCTTGTCTCGAACTCCTGACCTCAGGCAATCCATCCATCTTGACCTTTCAAAGTGCTGGGTTGACAGGTGTGAGCCACCATGCCCGGCTGATTTCATTCTTTTTTTGGCCACATAGTATTCTGTGGTGTACATGTCCCACATTTTCTTTATCCAGTCCACTGTAGATGGGAATTTAGGTTGATTCCATGTCTTTGCGCTTGTGAATAGTGCACAATAAACATGTGAGTGCCTGTGTCCTTCTGGAAAGAACAAGTTATTTTCCTTTGGTTATATACCCAGTAATGGGATTGCTAGGTTGAATGGTCATTCTGTTCTAAGTTCTTTGAGAAAACTCCAAACTGTTTTTCCACAGTTGCTGAACTAATTTATATTCCTACCAACAGCTTCTATGTATTCTCTTTTCTCCACAACCTCACTAGCATCTGTTGTTTTTTGACTTTTTAATAATAGCCATTCTGACTGGAGAGAGATGGTACCTCATTATGGTTTCGTTTTTTATTTCTCTGATGATTAGTGATGTTAAGAACTTTTATATATGTTTGTTGCTCGTGTGTCTTATTTTGAGAAGTGTCTGTTCATGTCTTTTATATACTTTTTAATGGGGATCTTTGTTTTTTGCTTGCTGAATTGTTTAATTTCCTTATAGATGCTGGATATTTGACCTTTGTAGGATGAATAGTTGTGAATATTTTCTCCCGTTTGTAGGTTGGTTGTTTATTCTGTTGATAGCTTTTTATTTGTTTGTTTGTTTGTTTTGTTTTGTTTTGTTTTGTTTTTGCTGTACAGAGCTCTTCTGTTTAATTAGGTCTCACTTGTCAATTTTGGTTTCTGTTGCAATTGCTTTTGAGGGCTTAGTCATAAATTATTTCCCAAAACTGATGTCCAGAATGGTGTTTCCTAGGTTTTCCTCTAGGATTCTTATAGTGTCAGGTCTTACGTTTAAATCTTTGACTCATCTTGAGTTAATTTTTGGGTATGGTAGAAGGTAGGGGCCCAGTTTCATTCTTCTACATCTGGCTAGCCAGCCATCCTAGCCCCATTTATTGAATAGGGAGTCTTTTGCCCATTACTCACTTTCGTTGACTTTGTCGAAGGTCAGATGGCTGTGAGTGCATGGCTTTTTTTCTGAGTTCTCTATTCTGTTCCATTGGTCTATGTATCCTTTTCCGTACCAGCACTATGCTGTTTTGGTTACTGTAGTCTTATAGCAGAATTTGAAATAGGGTAATGTGATACCTCTGGTTTTTTCCAAGGTTTCTAATGGAAGTCCACAGGACACTTTATCCCAATGTAGCTTAAATATTATGGCAATGGTCTTTTGCTATCAGAGGCGGTTACCAACTTAAGGAATATAGTCCCAGATTAGCAGACATTATTATGGTCACTTTCTGACAGGGTGAGGGAGGGGACAGAGAGGGGAACCAACCAGTTCAGAGACACCCAGCAAATCAGGACTGACTGCTCTCAAGTGCACACCCCTGTGTACTTGTTCCCATAGGGAAATGGCAGTGACCTAGACCTCCAGGGCTGAGGTTCAGGCTGTCCAGAGCACTCATGGTCTCTCTACATGCCTCTCCTTTCTCACCCTCCAGAAAGCTTTCAAGCAGCTCAAGTTTCACTGCGGGTTGGAGTGGGAGGCAGGCTGGCCTGGCTGCAGCAGTAATTTGTCTGGTTTACTAGGTCAGTTTCCTGTCAGGCTCACTGTGGTTTAAAATTATTGTGGAGCCCAGTTTCTTATTGACAGAGGCTTTCTAAGTCCCCAGTATGTCTGTCCCTGCTTCCATCCCGCAGGGAGCAGCTTCTCCATAACCTTTCCAGGCATTGCTTCTATTATTAAGGGTCAGATACTGTTTTCCTGGGTGACCTGTGATGTAGTGCAGTACTCGGGCTTGGAATTTCACATTTTGGGGCCTAAAGAATGGTTGATACTGGCTTTCTTCAGCTGTTTCTGGTGAAACACTTCTACAACACAATTTCTTTTTTTTTTTTTTTAAAGAAATTTCACTTGATTTGTAAATGCGACCTATTGTCTTATTCCTCCCCCTTTACCTGCATGCTGGCCTGTATGGCAGGCATCAGCCACATGTAGCTATTGCACACTTGACATGGGGTCAGTCCAAATTCAGACGTCCTGTATGTACAGCAAAGCATGTAAAATAGCTCATGAAAAAATTTTACATTGACTGTATGTTGAGATGATAATACTTTCATATATCGGTGTTTTAAAAAAACATTAATTTCACCTGTTTCCTTTTGCTTTGTTAATGTGGCTAATTTGTGTTAAACGTGGAAAATGTTTAACTTACACGTGGGGCTCGAGTGATGTTTCTGTTGAACAGCATTGATCTACATCAGGTTTATTTTCTCTAAAATGCTGACTGCTCTTGTACTTCTACTAGCATTTGAAAGACCAGGGTTCGACTCCTGGTTCCCAGATCACTAGTTTGTCATCTCCAGCAAGGTGCTGCAGTATATTTAGCTTCAGATTCTTCACCGGTTGCTAGTTTAACACTCCGTGTTACTATCTCTGCTGGAATTCTATAGGTAGAAGGAAATATTTTGAAATCGATGGCACTGGCTGTAAGAGGTTAGAATTACTGTTAGGTGGCAGCAGCTGCCATCTAATCTAAACAGAGAATCCAGCATTATTCCTCATCTTCCTCTTTGTGCAAGGAGAAAACTGTGAGAACTTGTTTTTCCTAAAAGTTACGAACCGCAGTTTGAGAGGCCCAGACTGTCCTCTAGTTAGCAGTTCCCAGAACAGATCTGAATAGGTAAAAACAAAAAGGCCATCCAATCGGATGAGGAAAGACTGAAAGCTGCTGGCATTTCATTTCTTTTGTTCTCATTCTTGGCCATCAGAATAGAAACTGATGGGCAGTGGGTGGGGTGGACGGCCTCTGCAAAGTGGCCTGATCAGATTCCTGAGCATCTAGGTCATTGGGCAGGATGGCGCCTGGCCGGAGCCACTGCTGCTCTCTTCTGACCTTGAAAGGTGTAACAAGTGGATCTGCATTCATTGCTCTGTGAGCCTCTATTGAGTATCTATGATGTGCTGGGCACTGATGTTATCTTTATGAGAATTTGGTGAGCTTGCAAAGGAATGAGTAGTGGAAATGAGAAAAAATATGTATTTGATATTAGTTAACAACAACAGCAACAACAATTAAACAAACTAGAGACAGAGAAGAATGTAGGGTACTCTTCCCTTCCTGTAGTTTTTTGCCCCTTCTTATTCAGAGACACTGGCACTTACAGTTCTTTGCAAATGAATGTAGGAATGAATGAATGAGTTGTTTGAATCCAAATAGACAAATTTACTTGTAAAATAAAACCATATTGATGTTGCGATTATCTTTTAAGTTCCCAAATCAGGCGCCCGAAGATGTTAGGTATCGGTTTGGAGCAATGAGTGATTCAATAATCACTCTCTGATTTAAAAGTTAACTGATAATGTCATGTCCCAGAGAAGGAGGATTCACCCTCTATTTATCTGGTGTCATAGATTTTTCTGAAGGGTGGAGAGAATGATTTCTCCTTCAAACCATACAAATATAATTTTGTGTCAACACACAAATGCAAGGATATTATACATGCGCTTTGTTGCTATTGTGTTGTTTTTTTTTCTTTTCTTTTCTTTCTTTCTTTCTTTTTTTTTTTTTTTTTTTTTGAGACAGAGTTTCGCTCTTGTTGCCCAGGCTGTAGTGCAATGGCACGATCTCGGCTCACCACACCTCTGCCTCCTGGGCTCAAGCCATTCTCCTGTCTCAGCCTCCCAAGTAGCTGGGATTAGAGGCATGTGCTGCCACACCCAGCTAATTTTGTATTTTTAGTAGAGGCAGGATTTCACCATATTGGTCACGCTGGCTTCGAACTCCTGACCTCAGGTGATCCACCTGGCTCAGCCTCCCAAAGAGCTGGTATGACAGGCCTAAGCCACTGTGCCCAGCTGCCCAACTTATTCTTTTTTCATGAGTATATAATATTCCATTCTGTTGATATATTATCATTTCTCTAGCATCCCTTAGCAATAGGAACTTTGTTACTAGGTGTGTTTGTTTCCGTTTGAGACTGTGAGCAATGCTTGTCCATATGTCTTTTTTTTTAATACTGGTATCTTTATTTATGTAAATTAAGTCCCAGGGCTGAGATTACAGATTATATACGTATTTAAAAATTTTAATAAATATTTGCTCCATTACTTTCTAAAAGGCTGTAACAATTCACATTTTTATAAACTGTGGAAGAAACTCATTCTTTGCCGCATTTTTACTGAAAGGGTGTATTTTCTTTTTGGAGAAATATTTTATAAGTATAATTGATATAAATTAATAATTCATTGCTCTAGACCAAGGTTCCTAACCATTTTTTTTGGCCATGGACACCTTCTCAGAATACTTTTTTTTTGTTTAGTTTAGTTTAGTCTTGTTTGTTTGTTTGTTTGAGGCAGGGTCTTGCTCTGTTGCCCAAGCTGGAGTGCAGTGGCACAATCTCAGCTCACTGCAACCTCAGCCTTCCAGGTTCAAATGATTCTTGTGCCTCAGCCTCCCTAGCAGCTGGGATTACAGATGTGCACCACTACGTCCAGCTAATTTTTGTATTTTTAGTAGAGATAGGGTTTCACCATGTTGACCAGGCTCATCTCAAACTCCTGACCTTAGATAATTCACCCACCTGGGTCTCCCAACGTGCTGTGATTATAGGCTTGAGCCACCATGCCCAGTCTAAATACTTTTTTTAATAAGCAAAATAAATTGCATAGGATTACAAAGAAAAACCAATTATACTAAAATACAGTTATCAAGTTTCAAATAACGAATACTTGGATGCAGAAAAAAGAAAATAAGTCAAATATATTTTTTAAAACCCAATTTGTGATATAGAAATGTGTTGCCTCTGTTAACATATTAAATAACAAGGTCTAATCGCAGGTCGAATAGCTACCATAAATAAAAAGAAGTGATGAATATAATCGGTATTTCAAGATATGTGCACCAGCTGTAACATATGAACATACTTATGATTTCTATTGGAGACAAAGTCATAGGCACTGCTAATGATACTGTGGTTTGTTGTAACTGAAGTAAATACTACATTTCAGTTAGAAATTAACGAAATGAAATGTAACATGGCTGTAAGTTCACAAAGCACTTAATATTATTCATAGACTCCTTGGGATGTCCCTACTCCCTAAGTTTAGACCTTCAGAAAAGAGACCCTAGAGACTCTTTTCTACTCTTTAGTTTTATAGATGAGGAAACTGTCCTTTATTATCCTAGAGATTGTGGTCCAACCAAGAGCTGAATTCAGATCTCCTGGCTCCCTACTCTGGTATTCGTTTTGCCACAAAGCTTACCTTTCTCTAGGGAAGCCAATCTCAGCAGACAAGGTTTCCTTAGTTTCCTCTGTTTGGCTCCAAATCCTGGTTAGACCATGGATTGAAAAGCTATGGTTCATGGGCCAAATCCAGCCTACTGACTCCCTCTTCTTACATATGCAGTTTCACTGAAATACAGCCATGCCTATTTGCTTACTCACTGCCTATGCTGCTTTTCTGCCACAAGGGGAGAGCTGAGTAGATGCATCGAACCCCGTGAACCATGGAGCCTACAATGTTTACCATCTGGCCCTTTGCTAGAACACATAGCTGACACCTGGCTTCAACCCACAGGTTGATGTGCTCTCTTGCCTCAACTGCGCTTTGATGCTCCACATTCCAGCAGTGGTACTGAGGAGCACAGTAGTACTCTTGTTTCAGGAACTGTACATAAGCTGTTCCTGTTCTCAGGAATCCTGGACCCCCCACCCCTACCCCTATGATGTCACAGAGCTTTCCCTGCTTTACTCCTTTCCCCATGTCCAGTTTATGTGCCCCTGATGTGTGCCCTGCTAGTGTATGGTGCACACCCTGAATAGCACTAGTTATGTTGTACTATATTTGAGTTACTTGTCTGTCTCTCATATTATATATAAACACTCCAAGCACAGGGGCCGTGTCTGTGTTGGTCACTGTTACATCTCAAGTATCTGACTCTAAAGAGATGCTCAAAACATACTTGTTGAGTGGCGAATGAATGAAGTGGGTGAATTTTGTCCTTAGTGGCCACTGTCTTGACAGCCTGGTCTTTGCACCTTTTGGTTCAGGGACAGCCATCCCTACCCAGTCCCCTTTATTTGCTTCCAGGAAATAATTTGATGAACTCATCCTTAAATGACTGATATAAATTAATAGAAGTGCCACAAGAGCAGAAACCTTGTACGTGTTACTTACCCCATCTATCTATGCCCCAGCACTGTGTGTTGCATCAAGTGTTTAGTAGATATCTGCTAAGTAAACTAATGTTTACAATAGTGCAATTTTAAATTAGGCCAAAGAAACACATCTCTAATTGTGGAATTTCTGGTGTCAGGGTGCTAAGTTGGGAAATATTTTTGGAAATAAAATGCCTTGGAAATTTTTTTAAACACTGACATATAATGGTCTGGACACGGTGGTTCATGACTGTAATCCCAGCACTTTGCGAGGTCAAGGCAGGTGGCCTGAGCTCAGGAATTCATGAGCAACCTGGGAAATATGAGGAAACCCCATCTCTACCAAAAAAAAAAAAAATACCACAATTAGCCTGATGTGGTGGCACACACCCGTAGTCCCAGCTACTTGGGGGCCTGAGGCAGGAGAATCATTTGAGCCCGGGAGGTTGAGGCTGCAGTGAGCTGAGATCACACCACTGCACCCCAGCCTGGATGACAAAGTAAGACCCTGTCTCAAAAAAAAATTGACACATAATAATTGTGCATATTCATGAGGTACATAGTGATGTTTCAATGAATATAATATGTAGTGATCAGTTCAGGGTAATTAGCATATCTGTCATCTCAAACATTTATCATTTTTTTATGTTGGGAACATTCAACATCCTCCTTCCAGCTGTTTTAAGCTGTACAATATTATTGTTAACTATTGTCATCCTCCTATAGCATGCTAGAATTTTTGTTATGTTTCTGAAATATCACTAATTCCATGACATCCCCTTCCATCCAAGTGTAACTGGCCCATCAGGATAGTTTTGGCATCTCAGTGTCAGTGTAGATGATTCGAAATGTTAATGTAATATTAATTCAAAGAGGTATGAAAGTCCAGAGACGGCAAGTATTTTGTGAGAAAGAGTCTGCTGTCTTTGTAGCTACCATAGTCCAAAATTCTTTCTACCCCTAAAGGGCAGAAGTTAGTATTTTCAATGTTTATAAGTAGACTTGACTGTTCAGCTTCTGAACACCAATCATAGCTCTGCTCTGGGGCCACTTCTGCTAGCTTTGGCTGAGAAAGAGTACACTTAGTGTCCCAGGTGCTGTGAGCTTGGAATGCTTGTTCTCAGGGACATGGCCCTGTCAGGGGCCAGCCCCCATGTTCTTTCATCAGTGCCTACAAGCTTTTAGTGTTAGGGATTTGGGCTGCTCCCAACTATGGAGGATACTGGAAGGTGCCACATGCTACTGTCCAGTATTCTATTTTTCTAATACCAGGCTTCTGTATTTGTCCAATGCCCTGATGTTGTGTTTTCAATGTGGCGATGAAACCTATATTAATAAAGAGATCTTACTACCCCCATTCAAAGTACCAGAAAATTGGGATATCTCTCAGCGAGTTTTTATTTTTATTTTTGCAGCTTTTGAAAGGGCTGGAGAGCTGATCCAGTTACCACCTTTGCATTTTTCCAGTTATCAGCTCAGAGTGGGCTCATGACAGAGAGGAAGGGCAGGTAGAGAAAGTGAGAAAAATAACAAGCATTGCTTTCCACATCTAAAATGTTTTAGCTTTGCTTCTCCCCGGAGCTGAGACTGGGAAAAACAAGCTCAATTAGCTCTAATAAAATCCTTTTCCTCTAATAAAATCAAGTCTTGATTCTCAGGTAATTCTTCTTGAGTGGAGGGGACGTGACAGATTCTCTTAAAAGTCTCTTGCTCTGTGGGCATCCAATACCAAGACCCTTTCTTTCCCAAGCCCACCCCCCTTATCTAGCCTGCTTGAGAAAAATAAGTTATTCTTGACTCTCCATAGCTCTAGTCCCTCCTGCCCAATCATTTGTGCAGATTTTCTGAGGTTCTTTGGATTTGACCTCCCAATGCCTTCTTTCCCTGGGCATCTAGCCTACCTGGGCCTAGGCCCATAAGGTCTTTATAAAATATCCAGGTGGTCTGGCTTGCTGGGTTACATAAATGGCCCTTAAATAAAGATGGTGCCATTGGCTAAAATAATGTAAGACGTCAGGGCAGGGAAATTGTGTAAGTGCCACAAACTTCCTGGCCCACAGGGCAACTACAACTCTTTTCCTTTCTGGAACATACCACCAGCCCAGGGATGGGCTGTGACGAATATTTGGCCTCAGGCAATGCTAGAGCCCAGGGAAAGCTTTAGTTGCATGTGTGTTTTCTCACAGAATTATAAAGCCCAGCAGCTCTCAGTGCCAGAGGCTGCGGAGAGTTTCTGTGTTTTTCGACTATTCATTAGTGATTACATACCCCCCTGAACACCTGCAAGACCAATTCATAAAGCAAGCATTCATGGACTTTGGCAAGGGCTTCATGGGAACTGCAGGGTACGGGGTACAGTCATTGTATCTCCAGATAAAAAACATTCTCTTACCAAGGAGGCCTCTGAAAATAGAAGCAGGCTGCAATTTCAGTTCAACACCATGGGGTATTAAAAAGAAAAGTGTTACTTCACCTCGTCTCTTTATAAAGTCAGCACACTGTGAGGCTGTGGCATTCCTGGACAAATCCTCTTTCAGGACCCTTTCGGGAGTGAGAAGAGGGGAGTGGTGGGCACTGTATTGATTGTGACAGGGGCCGGCCCGGCCGTGGGTACGTGTGGCATGCTCTCCCTCGAGTGACACTGATTTACAGCAGGATAACAGGAAGTGTGGAGCTTGGGTGGCCTACTGTGTAATTCTGGGTGACAGATTGCCCCTGCCACTTATAAAAACGGGGCTATAATTAATCCAAAAAGGCCAACAATAATAAACAACCAACGAAAAAATAACATCTTTATACAAAATATGGGATTGACCTTTAATACGATTCTTTTTCACCTTAATTTTTTTTTTCCTTTTCGGGCTCTCGATTAAATAACAAAATGGCAGGGGCTGGAAGAGAATGGCTTGGAAAGACACTGCTGGAACATCATAGCAGCTAAGTCTGAGCCGAATGGGCAGAGTGAGAGGCTTACTCAGAAGTCCTGCGAGGACCATTGGATAGACTAGGGAAGCTGAGGCTTGTCTGAGCATCTTTTCAGATGCAAAATGTATTTTATTTGTAGAGGCAAAATGAAGTTTAATTTGATTCTATCAAATGAGACTGGCTTACCTAGAGAATTCAGCAGTTTTTCTTGAGAGAGAGAGAGAGAGAGAGAGAGAGAGAGAGAGTGTGTGTGTGTGTGTGTGTGTGTGTGTGTATGGTGGGCGGGCTCCAACTCTCCCTCTCCCCTCTGCTCTACCAGTATAGACAGCCTCCAGTGCTCAATTAGCCTCCTGAAGGGCCTCATTCTCTGATAACAGCTTAGACATCAGAAGAAACGGTGCTCACAGTGTGTTTCATCCTCACACGTATAAACACGCATAGTCACAAACTCATTTAGGCTAGAAAAGACTTTTAATGGGACATCTGGCTCTCTTCCACTACTTCTTGTCAAGGCAAAGTAGGTTCTCTTGTTAATATGTATACTCTAGCAACCACACCGTGGCAAGAGTCTGCGATACATAGAATTATTTTTTGTCTTCTGTTATTGATTCAACTAGTGCAAGGGAGCAAAAAGTTAAACCTAAGAAATTAGGGTCAGAATTTCCATCTACATGGAAGGAGTGGGGAAGCTTAAGTGCTGGGCACAAAAGGGAAGATGTGGCCAAACACTCAGTGGAGAGAGGACGATGGTAACAGTGATGACCTCATGTATCAGTGTAGTAAAAATCTCACTCTTCCTCAGTTGGGGGAGGCAGTAGAGTATAGTGGCCAAGATTATGGACTGTAGAGCGAGATTTCTCAGGTTCAAATCACAGCTCTGGTACCAGCTGTGCGAACTTGGGCCCATTTTTATTTCTCCATTTTTCAGAGCTTAAGGAACTTCCTCATCTGTAAAATGGCATAATAATAGTTGCCACTCACTTCAGAGGGTTATTGCAAGTATTAAGCAAATTACAATGGGCAAAGCCCTTTAAAGAGTGTCCAGCTATATAAATGTTAATTGCCACCAGTTAAATTATCTAGATCATTGCCTATTGGCAAAACATTGTGTACATCATCCATTGCAGTCCTAGGAATGACTGCTCAACTTCGTGTTTAATCATCACAATTATTAAGCGTTTACTGCGTGTCAGATACTGTGCATACCCAAACTCTTCTGATACTTATAACAACTCTCCACTTTACAAAGGAGAGCACTGAGATTAGAGAGGGTAGTTGGTTCAAGATCAAATAGCTAAGAAGTAGTAGATTTAGAATTCAATCCAGGTCAGCTGGGTTTACGCCTATAATCCCAGCACTTTGAGAGGCGGGCAGAGCACCTGAGGTCAGTAGGTCGAGACCAGCCTGGCCAACATGGTGAAACCTGTCTCTACTAAAAATACAAAAATTAGCTGGGCGTGGTGGCGGGTGACTGTAATCCCAGCTACTCGGGAGGCTGAGGCAGGAGAATCTCTTGAACCCGGGGGGGCAGAGGTTGCAGTGAGCCAAGATCACGCCACCGCATTCCAGTCTGGGTGACAGAGCAACTCAAACAAACAAAAAAACTATTCGATCCAGGTTGACTTCAACCACCATAGTTTAAATCAACAAGTTGTCCTATCTGTATTTGCCTCTGAAGAG